TAAATAACCTAACAATTCAAATGACACATGAACTTGCTCGCTGAATTAACTTGCTTCCAAGTAAACACCGTGCAATTCTTCGACGAAATGAAGATATCCCTCAGATTATTACCCTGCATGTAAGTCCTGTATGAAGAAAAAAGGGTGACTCTAAACTACAGAAGCCCAAAACGAAACTACCTCCGGTGACGGCTGGACTTATCCGGCATGTTGGTTGAAATTTCGCTCGGCAAATTATTTTTGTCAATAATTTTTAATAAAATTTTGTCATATGTTTTCTGGATTGATAGGAATTCTCATTTCCTGGCTAGTTATGTTGGTGTCCGCGTCATGTAATCTGACTGCGACACACTTAGCATATTGGTTGTAATGATTAGTGTTTCATGCTGAATGCGTCAAAACATCTCTACAATGAAGAAGATGGGGTAGTTGGGGGGTAATGTCATCTACACAAATAGTTTATTTCTTGTAGAAGCTGCAGCTTTCGACATAGTGTCATTCAATGAAGACTACGTCAAAATGTGGCTATTTTCGTGTGAAGAACAGTACTATTTTACAAAAGAATGCTATCAGTACATGGGAATCACCTATAAATGCCAACAGAACGTAAAACCAATGTGTAAACGAACGGCTACGGAACTGCAATCCAACATAACCGACTAACATGGACGAAAATGACCTTTGAGCGTCTCACTCCATCAATGACCTTGAGCATGCGGGATAATTTCAGCCTCCGGTGACCAATCAAATTAGTAAGAATTAGAAGTGGGCAATTTGAAATAAACGTCTATATACAAGTAATGCAATGTTAAAAACGGCTACATAGGGTAATATTCTTGTATATGTTCCAAAAAACTTCCCAATTTCTCACAAGAGTCCTCATAGTCAGGTTAAATTAATTTCTGGAAATAACTTCGTCAAGGTCATCAATCCATTCATTTGGCATTTTCGTTTTGCGATGCTGTAGCTTACAGTCAATGAAAAAGTATTTGGGAACTGAATATGCCGAAAACTTTTGTACCATATCTTCCTACATTGTCTGAAATAAAGCTTTATTAATATGTATGGTAATTCTTGTATGACGTAAGGTGATATGTAAATAAAGACATACTTCAGTCAGTCAAGCAGTCTACAATAGCAAAGATAGAGATGCGTCGTTTTGTGCGTGTGACTGCTTCAAAGTCCCTTCATAAAAATAAAGGAAATGAACTTGAAAAAACATAGAATCATGTATAAATTCAACAAAGTAGAACAAATTGGTCTCACTACTTGTGACAGAAATGACTATTTATGATAAATCTAAATTCCGACTCAAAATAGTGACTATAATATCGTCAGATGACTGGATAATACCCCAACAAAGGCACAGATCTAACTCAAATCGATAGCCATACCTGCACTGTGCACTTACCGTGAGAAACCAGGGTTTACAGGATAAGGGGGATCATTCCTTAAATCTCCTTAGAATATAGCAAAATACATTCAAAAGCGGTGAAGATAAAGTCACCAAATAAAATATAATGCAAATCCCAAGGTAAAAGACAAGAACAGAAGTAAAGTAAGCAGACTAAACTAAAGAAATATTCACCAAATAAATTCTAACCTGCATGTGGATACTTCGAAGCTTCGAGATTCCTCTAAAGACCACGTATCCATCAGGGCCTGCACGCATTTCTGCACCCTTCTATTGTGCCGGTGACACGCGCATCCTAGGATTACCTGGCTGTTCCACACTAACTAAGTTTCCAATATCTTTTCCTCAGATAATTTCAACATTTTATTCTGTTTAAAAGCAATGTTCGTTAGAGCGTATTTCCAAGTGACTGAGACTTCTCGATTTGCAAGTATTGGTTTTGTAGGGATTTGGTTTGATTGCATGGAGGGTTTCATCATGAGCTGACATCAGTAGGGTACACCAGTACACCAGTAGGGTACAGCAGGTCGAAGATGAGGACAGTTGCTCACGAAGAAGACATTGCGAAATGGTCGCGCTATGTCGTGAATTGGCAGAAGTTAGAATTCAAGGACCATTGGATCGGGTCCCAGTGGCTCAATGGTCTACGAGCTCGCCTCGTAACCAGAAGGTCCTGGGTTCGAATCCCGTTGGGCGCGTACTGCTGAAGAGTCCCAAACTAGGACGAAACAGCTGTCCAGTACTCCCAGCTGGTTTTCCAGTGGTTCTCTAACTGATGTCAGCTCATGATGAAACCCTCCATGCTTCTCGAATTGTATTTTGATGTCAGTACTTCCAAATCATCTAGTGTGTCGACGAAGTACAAAGGTACATTTGTGCCTGGAAAATATGATGTTGTTTTGTACAGCAACAACAAATTCAAGCATTCAAGCATTAGTCGTCTGGACTGTGTAGATCTGCATAATCTAATTAACACAAGGGAATTTTCACACAATAATCGTTTAGGAGATTAAGATATTTTTGTGGCTTCACCACTGTCAGTTTCCTTTGGAGTCGCCCATCTTACTTCCTTTTCAAAACACAAATATGGCTTCTATAGCACTTCTTGTCTACTCCCTGAAGCACAGTTCTATTTGCCATCATACAGACCCACTTCTACCAAAATCTTAAGTTGTACTACACAAATTCCATGCCACGCGGCTTATTCCAGTGATATTGCTGGTAGCACTGACAAACCATCTGGCTCAAAAAATTGCCACTGCTCTTCCTTGATAAATGCATATCAGCTAAATATTAGACGCAACTAACTCAGCCTTCCTGTGCTTCTCACCTATCCATTCCATTATTTCCAAAAGCACATATGTTCCTCAAAAGTTTCACTTACGAATCTGGTCAAACCACTTGAAGGTCCTAAATGCTGTTTATTACAGTCTTTTCAGACAGCAATTGTCCATGCTTAAACAAAATCAGTAAAGCATTCCCAGTGCATGCATAATGCTGTAGTTTCCAGAGAACCGGCAGACGTGAATATTAAAGCCCAGATTTATAATAACGCTTCTTCAATGTTTAAACGGCAGTGAGAGAAATCGTATAAACCGTAGAATGCCCGAATGAAGCATCATTGTTCTCGTTGCAACGTATCATCAGTTTAAATGTATTGCTAGACAGAAAATCAGCACTACTAATAGTCAGTGCCTATCCATAATGTTGAGTAATTATGCCCGGTAAAAATGAAAGTAAATAAGTAAGCTGAAACTAATAATATGGATGATTGTGCAGCTGATGCAGCTGAAAGTCACGTGCTGTTAGAGAGAAGGAGTGGCGGATTGGTGACGCTTTCTGCATTCTTAAGTTTGGTCTAAATGCTTTATCACAGCTGCTCCTAAAAATCGTATCAAACCTGACATTTCGGAGGATCTAGAGACGTAAATGAAACGCAGGATGTCTCCACCTTCGCGTAACTGTAGCACAGCAAGCAAAATGTTGGCGCATCACCTGGGAAGGACGAATGAATTAAACCAGAAAACTAGTAAATAAGAAATGTTATCACATTTGTTTGATGCAACTTCGTCATCCTTTCATGCCACCGCTGAAATGAAAGAGACTGCGCAGGCACTCGGTGGTAACTACGGTTCGGAGATAGTATGTTAGACAAAGGACAGCTTCTATGACCTAAATGTAGAAACCATATTAATATATGTATAAAACTTAGACACTGTGGTAGTATTTAATTCCACTTTAGTTTGTTCATTATATATATCACACATTATGACATATCTGTCATTCAACACAGTGGATGACATTTTGCACACCTCTGTGCACAGACGGTCAAGTTCCAAGTAATGTTGGAAGTCAGCTGCAGAGAAGATACCGATAGCGTTTGAGCCACAGAAATGTGAATTTCGGAACTTTCCAAAATGGAAAGCAAGAAGTATACAGCTGTGTAGATACCTCAGAAGAGCATAGTGCCATGTGATACACAGGACCACGAGATGCAGTGGTGTATCAACCTATTGACTAAGATGAATCACCAGATATGAACACAGGGATGATTGGAAATTTCTTTCATATTTCAGGGAAATCTCCGCACTGATCGTGGAACACAAACATCTGACACTATCAACCCTAAAGCTATTCTGATAGGTGCTGTTTTTGGTAAGCACTTAGTTGGTGCACAGTCTACAGAACAACTGACAGATAATGGAGAAGTGATTCGTCACATTCAGGGTTACGACTTAATGTGGCTAATTTAATGCACGAAGATGTTTATTATGTTTTTTTTCTAAACTCAGTTGTCTAGCAAAGGATACATGTGCGCCTTCACGCTCGAGCCATAAGCCCTACAGTCCAAAGATGGAGATAGGATTCGTAAGTCTGTTTATCATGGAAAAGCATGACTGGAGCTACTAATGGACTTACATAAATCCATCAAACTGTCTAGATGCTGAAGTTTAATTGTCTGTCTCAATAAGAGTTCAGTGACAGTCCTTATCAGACTGGCCTAGCCTATTCATTCAAACTAACGAAAACAGTGCCTTACTCTAGGAGTCAGGAGTCGCGAGTAGTCACAGCGCCACAGCTGCAGTTTACCTGAACATCTCCGCCACCCGAAACAGTGGATATTTTGGTCAAATGAAAGGTTGTGACAGGTTTGCTGAAGATATTTGAAGCCTTATCTCGAATAATCCAAACACACAGCGAGTTACCCCATTCGGAAAGTAGTGCATACTAAAAAGTGGTGCTCAATGGCAAGAATAAATATCAGTAAAATATCGAAATCTCATCTGGTTGGATTAAGATTTTTGATCAAGGAAAGAATACCTGTGGAATTCGTTAATTACTTTCTAATAAGTACCCGCATTTGTTTATTCTTTTCTTAAGCATGTTGACTGTGTGTAGTTTACGCTACTTCCAGCAGTCAATTCAAAGACTTATTGACTTTGTGGAATAAGGTATGCAAGGAAAGTTGAATAGGAAAATGAATAACAAGAATAACGTTGACATATAATTAAAAAATTTTCTATGGGAGCATAGATCTCATAAGTCACAGTCAAAAGAAACTACATAGTCTTCTGCTCTAGACAGTGAAGATTGTATTCTTTGATATTGCGCGCATACGAAAGATTGCGTTACGGTACGTTGTACTTTGTGTTTCTTTTCTAGTTTCCCTCGAAACACAGTATTCTTATAAGATATGTGTGTAATAATACAGCATTGTATTTCCTTGTAACGGACAATGGTTTACCTGAAGACATATATAATTCTGTGTATAGATTGCTACATACTTAACAATATTTTCCAGGAATGAAAATTCTTGTCTCTGACATTTGTCACCAATATACTGTCGTGAAACCTTGAGACTGAGTTTTGCTAAGAATAAAAAACGTGTAGTGGAAGACTGTATTGGTCCATTTACGCACCCAAATGACAAATTTTGGAGGAATTTGAGGGAAATGCAACATTTTTCCTTCTAAACCCCCCCCCAAATGAAGTATACGGGTTTTCAGAGGAGATGCTAGTATTTTGTCTAACTTCTCTGAAATTTCTTTTCTAGTATTACACTAGGAATTAACATAGGTTTCAAGCCTCTTATTTTCATCCAATATATTTGAACTTGCCCCACAAAGCCCGAAAATACTCCCTTGAACGATCAAGTTATCAACAAAATACCGTTTTTTTCAAGGAAAAAATCCAGTAGTTGGTGAAATTGCTCAAAGATACGTATTCTATTGCCACTTTCTGTTCGTGGCTTCATGCATTTAACGTTATTTTGGTCTAGATTTCCTCTCGGCTTACGGTGTTACAAAAATACAGTTGTGTCCATTCATAAACGTTTTGTACATATACATTTTCATTGAAAAATTATCATGGTACACATTACCTATCTTCCAAACAAAGACTTTCTTCAGTAATGTTTTACTATTTGGACTTAATCAAAAATACTTTTTTCTAACCAGATGGATATCAGTCTCAAATATGCACGCCGTTCATCTCCTTTGGGTCTCCATAGAATATCTTCGTAAAGGCAATTGTCAGTATTGGCTACTCATAAAATACAGAATTAGCAAATTGTAACTGCACAAAAATACCTTAGTTTGAGTTATTGCACCTGAAGTGCGAATAGAAAAGCAAAGAGTAAATGCAAAAACCTAAAATAAACGAAATGGAGAGTAATTAGGTGGAAATTAGTAGGGAATTTTAGGTAAAAAAAATACACCGTTGTGAACGACCTGGAAGCATGTCGAAAGGATTCGCTAAATATCTATTCTCATCATCTCGATGCAGACTCTAGACAAGCTGTTTATGCCTCTATATATGGCTGTAACCAACATTTGGACAAATCAAAAGTTGGTGCTATGTTTTGATCTGATTATTTCTAACTTTTCCCAAAGTAATATAACATTGCTCATCAATGATGCTAGGAGCTCGTAATGCGTAACACATGTCCTAGAAATCTCAACTGAGTAATGTCCCCCCTTAAGCAGTACTAAGTTGGACGAGGCATAAGAATTTCTGTTGAGATTTCCTCAGCATCGACTCCACTAGTGTTGATGCAAATCTCGGAAGTACGTGTCATCATTTCACTTCGTGTCCTTAAACTATGACTCGATGCAGACCAATCCTTCAGTATTATCTTAAATTGCATATCAGACTCTTAGATTTTTGTTAAAGGCGTTTAGAAAACTCTACATTCTGTCAATGACACTACCATCTATCTAGTCTGCATCAACAAAACCTGGTAACAGGTCAATCTCTGAAATACCAAAGGCTATTAGGGTCACGTCCACTAGTATATCTGTCATGAAATTAGAGAATGATAATGTTTGGCTTCCCTGATAAACACTACTGATTTTAGTCTCTCCGAATAACAAATTGTTGTGGAGCCTCTCGAGTTCCAGTTAGTGTAATATAATTTCTTCAGTGAGACATTGCCATAACACCTCTCGATAGATGGAGTCAAGAAACCTGGCAGGTGTTGGACACTGGAAAGTATGTCTCTGTTGTAGAGTGAATATGTAGTCAATACACACTCGTCCATTCCTAAAAGCTGTCTGGCTTTCTCGGGTTTGTCCTCTCTGCGAACCACTTATTCTTAGCTACGTTATGGAACCTAAAATTGCAGATACTATGTAAGTCAAGCTGATCCTCTGGCGTATGATGTAGGAAGATTTGTTCTATTCTTGAACCATGGTGACCTGAAAGTTATCCCGGACTCCAGTAAACTAACTAATACCTTAGTTAATCCAACCAATAATTTATCACTATATTTATGCACCTCCACATTTAAACGATCAGGTCTTGCTGCTTTGCATCCGTTTAAGTAGGAGACATTTGTAAACAAATGGTTATACGAAATTGGTGACGTGAATAAAAATCGTTTACTCTTTCGCAGATATCTTCACTATAGATTTCTAAACACCATCACTACCTTTTATCAAGAAATTCCTTCGTCCATAGATTTTTATCCAATGCAATCTCATTACACTTTGTTCTCTTTTGTTATACACCGATTCGAAATATCACAACTTCAACTGCCGCACTTAGGTGCAAGGTTCAACACTAAAAATTCTACGATAACTAGTCAAAGAATGTGGCACCAGTATTGTGTATTTTGTGGATTAACTATATTTGCTAAGTAGCATAAGTAGAAGTCCACACGTTGGTTGCACATATGTGTCTGTGAGAAAACAAATTCATAGCCTGAAATGCCAGCTAGTCCTCTTGTCTGATTTAGCCTAAATTCGGACTTTGAGATCTATATGCAGGTGTCAGCGTGATTTTAAGAATTCGAGAACGATGTGATTAAGTCATTTGCAGCGGCCTTACTTAAGAAAAAGTGAGGAAACCCTGAACAATAAAAACTACTTGAATGAACATAGAATAAATAACCTGGGTGGTGGGTAGTTGCTAACACTGTAGAAACTAATTTCTACGGGTAACTGTAATGGAGAAGCTTTGATGTCATGTCATCGCAAATTACATCTGACAACCACCTCAGCCCATTTGAAAGTAAAAGCCTTGTAGCACTTAGTCCTTTTGCTTTCGTTTAAGAGTTGCCCATTGCCCCCTATCTTTCACCCTCAAAAATTCCTTATTTAAGGGAGTAGTCTGCCAGTAGTTTCAAGACCTGATATAAAACTAACAAATTTAAGGAAAATAGCGTCGATGACGTTTTTATCACTCTTAGACTTAACCTAGCTTTCTCTAGCCATGAGGGTTTTCATCCTCAAAAACCCTGATGTGAGCTGGCCAACATATGACTGCTTTCTTAATCAATTTCTTTCTATATTACTGAGGAGGCTTATTGGCCTGTCATTTAGTGGGTATGTTCACACTCCTATTTTGGTTAAAAGTGACTATCAGACCTTTGTAGCCAAACATCATTGTTATTTGTTTGTGAAATAGACAGAAAATAGAAACCAGTTAGTTGGTTAATTTATTTACCAACTCCTGAACAAGTCTCAGCTACAGTTCTTTTGGTTACCTTGATTGTAGTGCTTAAAGACTTGAATGCGGCGTCCCAATGGTAAACGATCTGATCTATGTTGTTTACCGACAGTGCTTTTGGTACTAATAAGCTGGTTGCCGTCAAAATGTAGAAGTAGTCATCATATGTATACCCAATGGGAATATTAAGTGTTGGCTAATGTTACCGATCTCAGTAACGAAAAGTAATTAGTTCGTGAAGTTGTAATTTTGCGGGAAACTCATATCCAATTACCGTCTTCCACCGTTAACTATTAGCTAAAGCAAGATAGACCTGAAAGGGACTAAAATAAGCAGACTACGACATGGTGTAACGACAGAAGACAAGGGCCAGGCAACAGATCATTTATTGAGGAAATCAAGAGATATTCATAGATTTTTATTTACATTATTATTAGCGTTGTTAGCAGAGAAGCAACGTCTTCTGATTGGTCGTTTTCTTGCTGAAAGTTATTCTTATTATTGCTATTGAGTTATCCATGTATCTGCACACGCTAAGTCTGCTGTGATTGGTTGTTGAGTTCCTCAAGGTTAGGCTTTGTTATTGTTTTTCGCATGACCCCGATTCGGGAAGTAAACACTGAAGTAAATTGTTGTCTACAATTTTGGCTTGCAGACAGCTCTCACCACAATGATATTAATTACCCAGCGATCTGGCTTAGTTTAAGCTGTTTAGAGAAAAATTAATTGCCTGCGAAATTTGGTATTAAAACAATGAAAGTTTGGTGACAAGCAGATTAGTGCAGAAACCTACATATATAAACGCACCAATCAGATGTGACACTTTAAAACGCATGAAAATTAGGAGTAACCGAATGAAAATTAGTGAAAATGCCCAGAATTTGAGTGATACAGAGGGATACAACTGCCTCATTGTGGATGAATTCTAACTATATTAACTAAACTCCTCAAACAGCGTAAAGAAAAACCACTTTATCCACTGTAAACTTCAGTTTAACTAGGTTTCTTTTCATGTCAGTTCATATTTACGTATATTACCTGTGTTGGCGATGTGCGTAAATATAAATGGTAATGAAATAAAATGATATCAGAGGTGAGGGAGAAATAATTGAAAATCAATCAATGGTTAAAACTCTTCTGTATCTTTGCTAAGTATTCGTCTACACTTTTTAAAGTAGTTATGACAGCAAAATAACTGATGGCTTGATTACGACAGTAGTAAAATGTCTACGAATTAATGTATCATGTGTGCACGAAAACTAAGTACTCTAATTGTATTTAGGAACTCATACATCTATCATGTACAACTGATAGGGTCAGGAACAGCTGGCGAAGCTATTTAGGTGATTGTTGTACTTATCCAGCTTACTCATTATTTATAGACTCGAACGATGTGAAAGACCAATACTTTCAATTAAAAAAATATTTCAACACTCTCTACATATGTGTAATTCATTTCTTATTCTTTTTCAGATCACGAGGCTTTTGACTCTGAAATTCGACAATATCACATCTAGTTTATCCTGAACAAGAAATTGAATCTGCTGTGTATATAATATCATGAAGAAAATTACTGAATGGATTTTGGTCATTTCTTTGATTTCTGCAATATGGATATCTAAGTTGATGGGCATTATCCACGTACAGTCCAGTATTGGCAATATCATCCTTAACTGGCTGCCTTTCAATATTTTATTCTGTTTTGGCCTAGTCTCAGTATTAATCATAGCGTATCGTACGTATACCTTTAATGATTGCCCAGAAGCAGCAATAGAACTTATGAAGCTTGTTAATGAAGCAAAAAAAGATCTTGTTTCTAAAGGTTTCGTTTCTGATAGCTAACTACTGTAAAACTTTAACTGCTAGTGTTTTATTTTGTGCGTGTGTATTTATTTAATTTATCTGTGATTTAGATTGTATCATACATTGGTTTTATAATCTGAGCGTTTTTTATTTAAATACACCAAATGATGGAATGTGTAGGCAATTTGCAATGTCCTAGAGTGATTCTACGTGTGTGGAATTTCCTGAATATGAACAAATGCACATTGTATGTAAATGTCATACACCAGGTTACGCCGTTCATAAATTCTTCAAGATTTACTACTTAAAGGAGTCTGCTAGGATGAGCTAATAAAGTCACTGCGATTTGATTGACGTATCTAAAGGTGTTTGTCAGTGTTTCCCCTTTATTTAAGCGTCTTCACCAATATGTAATTGTATAAGTTTGATAAGTGTATGGAATATTAAAACAGAAATCTCATACCCTAATGTTTACTAAAATCTAGTAGGTTTCACGCGATTAGGCTTCAAAAGCAATGGTTCTAATTATTCTCCGTTGTTGTGGAATTTTCCATCCATCTAGAAAGTATGACAAATCATTGCTGGCACACATCTTCAAATGACTAGTTAAATAAGGCTTTATATTTCCCTCAATAATTGCGTGATAAGAAATCGCACGAACTTGTATGGTCACAGTGATCAAGTATGTCATCTGCCTGCTACCAACGTTATATGGCTGGCCATTAGGTGATTTACCCAGCTCTCACCTAATTGAGAACACCCTCGAGGACAATTGGAAAAGTGAAAATCACAAAACAGGGAGACATATACATCTCCACGAAGACGTCAATTAGTACATAATATTTATGGCCAAAAATAGTAGATATCGATCTTCATATCACTGCGCTCAATATGAATGTCCTGTTCTGTCTGGATTCAATATAGAACTTGGCACCGAAGTGCAGCAGTTCGAGTTGCCACGTTCCAAATAGCACACAAAGGTAGACAAGCAGGTGAGTGAAGAGAATCAATAGAGTTTTGACAAGTATAAGAGTGAAACAGAATGAGTAATGGTAGAAAGGAATATGAAAGATTACGGAGACTGAATACATCTGCGCCATTGAAAACGATTTTCAGCCATGTCACCTATTGTCTCCAGCCATTGATTCTTAGAGTCTCGAGGGCCCCACCCCGAAGGCTGCATCTCCCTACCTGACTCAGTTTAACTGTCATGGATTGATGCCATGTTTTTGTTTGGCCACCACTTACTCTTTTCCAACCTGCACCTATATCAGCTAGTAATGCCCGTCGGGGGAGGCGATGGCTAGGCATGCGCAGCACGTGACCTAGCCATCTCAATCTATGTAACTTTATAGCATCGCCGATTGATTTTCCCTCTTTGCCCAACACTCTACGCCTAACGTCAGCATTACTTACCTTATTATACCACCTAACGCGAGAAAGAGATCGTAAACATCTATGATCAAAAACAGTCAACCTTTTCATGTCTTCAACTCGTATTGGCCATGTTCCAGAGCCATAGAGAAGGACGGAGCGAACTGCTGAGCAGTACACACGTCCCTTGGTTGATAGCCGGATGTCACGCCTACGCCAGAGATGGCGTAAGTTAGCGAAAGCAGCTCGAGCTCTTTGGATACGTGCTGAGGAATGTCCTGTTAGATTCAAGTAGTTTGCTAATATCCACACTTGAGGGATAACAACTTACAACAAATTCATGCAGAGTGTAGCACACTACCAAAATATCAGGACAAACTAGTGAGTACCGATTAGGCACGTACATTTATCATACATACATCAGCAAGAGCAATATCAGCTTGGTCGCGGCGCCCTATGAATAATCGGGAGTTAAGATGTCTACTTTCTTGTTTATTTGCTGTTGTTGTGGCAGATGAAGCTTCTAAGCATTTCTGATAAGAACGCTAAGTGTTAGTCCCTGTTGTAGCTGTGACCTTAACTGCCCCAATAAATGTGGCTTACAAACTTTTGGTTAGTGAAATTCTGTTTTATTCTTGTAAAACAAAGTCTCGTCGGGCTGGAAACATCCGATGGCACTGCATAACGGCTGGAGATACCATGCTACTGTATTAATCATACTTTCTTTGAATACAGAAAAAAAGAACAACGGCTCATTTATCAACTAAGGTATCTTTAGTTTCATCCTGTTGGAATACAAGGAAAACATCGGAAAGATATCATCAATCGTGTCAGTTACCCCTTGACTTAGTGAAACGTTGTAGTAACTGAAATTGTATTAATGGTTTTTGTGATACTGCAACCTGTAAGACTTATGCAACTGCAAACAGTAGCTACATGAATAAGTAATACACAGTAGTTGTAACCTTCATATTATGGAAGATGTATTTGAACAGGTTATCTGTTGGTCTTATATTCTCTAAGCTTACACTGTCCAGCTCAGGTGAGACAACATAAACATCCACCTAGGTTATAAATCTTCTCCACTATTTCAAAGTCTCACGATCATTGTTTTCTTCACTTTCAATTCCATAGGAGTTAATAGTCATAATCATTTAATAGTGAAAACATAATAGTCTTGTAAAGGGCAAAATCATTTTGTCATCTGAATTTGTTCAGCACAGCTTTATTCTAAACCAACGTGAAGTTATACTGCAGAACAAGTGTGAACAGTTTACTGGTAAATGAGAGAAGGTAAACACCATGAGTGCATTCACTAACATTTCTTAATAAGTGGTAGGAATTTAAGTAGACTAGTAGTAAATAGTGTGCGTCGGTAGAATGCTCGCCAACCACGCATGTGGTTCGATCCCCGGCCGACGCTAAGCCGGTACTAAGACTGGTAAAGAGGGAAGGTTGGGTATGAGGCTAGCAACTCCATCCAGTAAAAATAAACACCACTGCTACCGAAACTTCAAGCCTCCAGCTTGAAGTCCTATGTTCCACTGGGAACGTAAAGGAATTTAAAAAAAGTAGTAAGTAGAAGACTTGTGAAACATGAAAACCTATTTTGCTTTCTTCATATAGTAGGTTTTTATGGTTCAGGACCTTTAAAGACAGTTTTATCTCCGTTCCATGCATCCCGAGTGGGATATATAGTTTCATGCTTTGGAGTAAGGGTATTGTCCCTGAAAGGTGCGCTTACTATCGTCAAGTAAACTAGGCGGGGTTTCAAAGTACGAAGGCTGCAAATCGAACCTAGATCACACGCGTGACCAGCGAGCATTCGATCACTGAATCAATGACGCTTAAGGACACTTTCAAACCACCAAATTAATGCAGATGTACGCGTTATTTCAAGTATACTTCATGCAGTCGCTACATTCTGAAACAGTAGCAGCATGAACTAGCAATTTACTTCATACGTAAGGAGTTATTGAATCCAGAGGACTGATGATGAACTACAATGTATCGGTACAGGCGTGGTTATAAAACAAGCGGTTGCGCGGGTCTTGTCTCTAACGTTTTCATGAGACCTGTATTTATGGAGATACGTGAATGCATGCGGCATTGATCCTGAGAAAACTTGGCATTATATCGTTTGCTGAAAAACTAGGGGTGCTAATAACAAAAAGAGTAATGGTGGGCGACGATAACGAAGAAAATCAGAATAGCAAAGCAATAGAGAGATACTCGTTAACAAATTAAGCCCTTAAGAAACGTGCCCTTAGAAAGCTACGGTGAGATATCTGAGTAGAATGTAACTATAATAACCACTATGTTGGGAAGAAAAAACCCAGTTAGCCTACAATCAATGTGTTACGCACAACAAGTCACCGACATCATTGGTGAGCAGTGTTATAATAGGTTAGAAAAATAACTAGAGGTACTACTCGGATCAAAGAACAGCGCCAATCTATGACATTGCTAACTGTTGGCTAGAGTCAAATATGGAGGCATAGATTTCCTGTCTGAGGACATCGAGATAAAACGAGTCGATGTTTGACGAATCGTTTACAAAGATGTACACTTTTCTACCTAGCTTCTGAGAATTCTCACTAATTTTCACCCAATTATTCGTTCCTTCGTCTATTTTAGGTCCTTGTATTTGCTCTTTGCTTTTCTATGTGCACTTCAGGCGAAGCAGATTGAGCTTAGACTGCGCAAAGTCTTACGTTAATTTAATCAAACACGAAAATATAAACACCTTAAGACTAAATCAATATCGGTAGACAAATGGGTTAACATTGGACCAAGCATTTCTGTACAACAATTTAAGGTGCAACACTCTCTGACCAAAATTAAATGACCAACCTTTATAACTTCTCTAACTTACTCGTATTCTGTAAGAGCAATAAGACGCTTACACTAACTTCAAATTTGATGTCTATGTGGCATAATAACTGAGTAAAGTCCATTAGATTGGTGTTCAGATTCACTTACTATTTGACTGTTACAAGAATTATTAGTTCCTTTTGTGTATACAAAAGGAAATCCATAAAACATTTGAATATACGTGCGCGTCTGGTAGAGTTAATGGCTTCTAAAACTTAATTTCAGAACAAAAAGGCAAATATGCACAGTTTTAATCTAATTTATTATGTACATAAATATCTCTCGAATTAAAAAGAGACCTTATTTTTCACTTCTTCAGATATGGACTCTGCAGAAAAAAATGAGAGAAGAAATTTAACACTTACTCTTACTTCTCAAGATTCCTTTAGCTGGAGTAACACTAACCGGTGGAGTCAATGAAATACAACGAGCCGCATTGAATTCTAACAGTTGAATGATAAGAAAGTGCACAAGCTTACTCTTTCGAAATACCTTTCCAAAAGATACTCGTCTTTCTGATGAAAGTGGAGTGTTTAGAAGACGTTTTTCACGGTCACTGGAATCCATATCAACTGAAATGCTAGGGGATATAAACTGAGCAATATTCGGTTTGGAAATATCACTGGAACTCTCAGCGCTACAAGAAAGGACGTCTGACTCTACTGTACATTTGTCAACACACTTTAAAAATAAGCAAATTATATGAAGAAAGTACCTTTGTGTTTATCTCCAACTTAACTTTTTTGGGACAAAATTCCTGCACTGAATCTTCAATCTTATCATCTAAGCTTGCATCTGTGGACTGAAAAGAAAAATAAGCAAAAATGGAATCTACATCGATTTCAGTGAATGCACGCTTTTTAGAAACCGCTTTTTTCTTCTTCGCCACCTTCAGCTTCTTTTTTTTACACTAAAAAGATTAAATAAACTTGTTCTGTACTAACCTTAGGCTTCGACAGAGTTTTTAAATTCTCCTCTTCATGGACAGTAGGAACAGTTGAACTAGTTGTCTACAGGCAATTAATGGCTTTGTAACGTTCACTTACTTCAGAAACTGGTTCAATACTCTGAAGAGGAACATCGTTGTTACTATTTTTCTGTTTGGCTTCTCTAGAGGCGATAACTTTTTCTAAACTGCAGATGTTATATTTTTATAAATACTGAAAATACCATCCGTTGATTCCTTTCAGAGAGTTTTTATAGGGAAATTCACTGACCAAAATATTTTTAAGACAATCCATTATATCACTTAAAGAACACTGTATACATTAATTACAAAATACATCCCATGAAAACTTACTTGTGAACGTCTCTTAACAAGTTTGGTTATCTGTGTGACCAGGGCTAAAACATTACTGGAGTAAGTATTGTGTCTAAATAATAAGAATTGGAAAGTAGTCTTAATTCATAATTATACCTTGGAAGAGAGGCTAGAAGCACCAAAAGATGTTTAAAGATCAACTGCACAGACTGCATTTTGACTTTCTATTTTGCGCAATTTAAATACTTCGAATAACATACCTTTTTCGGGAGTTCTTCCTTTATCAAAGTACAGAAATGCATTTTCAAGCCAACAGCATGATCGACATTGTTATTTAACACCTTGCTGAACACAGCGTCTATGAAGGCCCCCAAAACTGCAGGCCTCTTATGTGATATGTGTTGAAGACCTTTAGTGAAAAATTCTCGTGCAAGCTGGCTAACGATAAGTATTAATTTCAACATACCAGCATAAATTTGTCAACCCTCCAGTAATCTAGTTTATCCCATTCTCTAGCCATAGTCTCAAACATGGCATATAAGTAATAAATTATAGTTGTATGGTCCGGAATGTGTACTAGTATGTTGCATAACCGCGTGACAGTTTGCTCCTTTAAATAAGAGGTAAAGAAGAAACTCTGAGCATACCTGTAGAAGAAGTTTGTCTTGCATCCATAAACTGTAGTGAAGGCCTTTACAAATTCCCAACATTTGCTCATAAGTCCACTCATCTATAAGAAATTATCAAATATAAACTAAATTATATATCTGCTGGGTGTGAAAACTAATACGTAAAATAGGATAGAGTATCTAGGCATTCATTGAACAATCTCTAAACAGAATTCATATGTATATCTATAAAACTATCACTGACATTCAACGATTACCAAGCAGCAGCAGTTTTATTACTCCATATAAAGACATTAGCTCCAGCATATATATGTGATTAGACGTGCGCATATATGGAAAGGTTAGCGACATCTAGGTTGTGCCTAGTTTTCATGTAAGTCAGTGGAACTTCCAAGTTTTGGTGAAGTGCAAACTCTGCACATTGAACAGGTGTTCTAATACATTTACAGAATGCACCACCTTACTGTCTATAGTGATTTAAGACCAAGCCTTACATAGTGAGGGTCAATATTCTTGTTGTAGACAGCAAGTTAATTGGTGCATAATTACGAATGAATTATGACCTACTGCTGCTTCCCAATTAGTACCAACTGTTAAAATTTTCGGTGTCAAGGGTGTCTTAAGTTATCAGATTTTTTATCCTCACTGGACCTGCTGAGTCGTCTTATTATGTCTATGTGACTGACTCAAGTTAATTATTTCACAAATCACACCTATATGAAGAGTTTATAGGTCTAAAAGTAGAAGTCATACAGGCAAAGTAGAAGGGAAGCATATACAAACTTAGTCGTTTTACGGACAACGACAAATGATAACAACTAGTTTACTAATTAATTTAAGTAATACACACGCAAAACTAACTTTTTCCATTTGGCGACTTTTTTGAAAGAAGCAATTTTACTTGCTTTTGCGCCCTCCATCTCACTTTTTGCTGGTTGGAAGCTAAGGCCTTGGCTAGTCTCTGTACTACATCCATTTCATGTGAAGACACGCGCAATCTGAAAACTGGCGCTGTGAATTCGATTCAATGTACAGCGCCCAGTACAAAACTTAAGACCTGCAAGTAGGAAGTGGCATAGAATCTATTTAGAAAATTCATTTCCTTTATGAAGGGTGAACTTTTTCTCTCTGTGTGCTTACCGTAATAATACTAGATTTCTGTAGTTTTCCAATGCTGCTCAATAGAACGAGGAAGGGATTGTTAGGCATTCGGAAATTATACATGTTTGCATGTTTGTATTACTGATGTCGTGACATGTAAAGCTTGTTTGTGTTATTATGAAGTACTCCTGTAATGACACCGCCTTCATAATAAATACATTGCCTGTGATAACAATTCTTCATTAACTTTTTCTTGTGAAAACAGGTTATTGCTTTGATAGGTGTGTATATGTATGAAAAAAAGCCGACCTCGTAGTCTTAGTTTCCAAACAGACTTCCATTAGGAACGATACTTCTGACTACCACGAAGAAATACTTGCGCTCAATGAAGCACTTTTCATTGTATTCGTAAATAAATATCAAACTGCTATCACGTAAACTTCTCGTGAAGCGTATGCACTTCAGAAGTTAAGCTGTATTTACAGTTACTGACGCAGTAAATATTTACATCTTTCATCTTCAAATAAAGAGGTCTCACAGAGGCACAGGATTGAGAAAAGTGCATTAATAGTGTATTCATAACCAGGCGTGTCCTGCAAAAGTTAGATGCCTCTATTCAACTGTTGGCGCAGTTCCAGTATCTCCCTGTTGGGTTTTTCCACTCGCCCCTAACAAAGTGCTCTTTGTGATAGTGGTAGATCAACAACTTCAGTTTTTGCTTGAATACCGTATTCAGCGAACCGTTAGTTGGTGTAAAATACTCGGTAGCCGGGTTAATCGTTATGAAAACAACGTGGTCGACGCAGCGTATAAGTACCTATGTACTCTTTACTTTTATCATGTCAGTTGCTGACGAAAATCAGAAGGCAGATATGACTGCACATGCTCCCGCTCCAAAAGCACAAACATGCTTGCACCATACCATCTCTTGGATCATAGTTTCCTGCGCACATATCAGAGTTCAGGCAAACCAGTATATCAAATAAATTTGTGAAACAAAGATTGAGCGAAGAAATATTTACTTTTCAAATAGATCCTCATCTCTGGCTCTACTCTAATATACATAGCATTTTCATCACAATAAACAACTTTCTACCAATCAAGTGGCGATATATTTGTTAACAATAATTAATCAGTGTCAACATGTCAATAGGGTGATAATTAACGAATAAAATTAATACACACAATTAAAAGGTAATCCATTCCGATCTGGTCCCCCAATGGACAAACAAGAGCACACTGGTTTAGTGGCTATCATGATGTCATCAGTGGCAGCTAAAGCCCTAGTGCAGTGGGAACCAACCTCTTTCAGGATCACGAGAGCAAGATACAACTCAAAAGGAAGTAACGTTACAATTATCCAATGCTACGCACAATGCTACAAACAACGCGGAACAAGACAAGGAGGTATATTTTTACAGGCAACTACAAACAGTTATGGACAACATCCCGAATGGTGACATCAAAATCTTCATGGGAGATACAAATGCAAGCCAAAATGGGGGCAGATAATACATGAGGAGAACCCATCATGGGTAGAGAAGCTCCCGGAGAAATGAATGACAACTGGAGATTGCTCGCAGACTAATGCGGTTTCAATGATTCGGTAATCGGAAGCAGCGTGTACATGCACAAGGATATACAAAATGCAACTGGTGTGTCCTACATAGATAGAAATAAATATACCATTATTACTACGGATTTCGCCTGAAGGATATACAACAAACCAGAGAGATTTCATCTGAATGTTGCTCAAGGAAGTGGAGAAGCAGTCTGCTGGATGCGAAGTTTAGAAGGGGAGCAGATGTGGGCTCAGACCATCACCTAGTTCAAGGAAACTTCAGGTAGAAGCTGAAATCCTTGAAAACAAATGGGGACAGACCACAATTCAAGTTCAACATTCAGAAACTGAAGGATAGACAAAACCACAAGAGATGCCTTCACTACATATCAGATCAGAACAAAGTTGAAGATACTACGTGTTGTCACCGAGGAAACCTGAGTGGAAGAACATTAGAAGGCTCTGAAGTTGATGTCCAAGAAAACTTGCACGACCGTCCTGGGAAGAAAGAGTAGGCAAGACAAGCAATGGCTCTCGACGGATATCTGGAAGCTATTAGAAGATATGACAACAGTGAAACAATGACTCAACGCAAAGGCGCGAAACAAAAGGAGAAGATGGGTTCAATGTACACTGCACTGTGTAAAGAGGTGAAGAGTGCTAGGAAAGACGGAAAACAACTCTAGGACACACTGGCTGGCAACTGAAGCAGAATAACCTTACCGTCGTTAAAAGAGACCTCAGGACACTATATCAGATAACCAGGTCTCTATCCAGGAAGGGATCAATCCAGATGATGAAACCAATAAAAGATTGCAAAGGGGAACCTGATTGCCAAGGAGGAGAAACAAATAAAACAATGGGCCGATCACTTCAAAGGACTCTTGAATCGACCATCACCTGAAACTTGCCCAGAAATACCACCAACAGCACGCACAGAACTTCCAGTGGACACTACTTCAACACTATGGCATACCTCGAGTGTTTATCAACCTCATTCTACAGCTGGCTATATGATAATGCCACGTGTCAGGTGATCCACAAAGGGAAAACCCGAGAGGCGTTCGGAGTGCACGCAGGTGTAAGACAGGGCTGTCTATCATCGTTGATGATATTCTTAATTGTGGTGGACTGGACTGTTTCAGACTGTGGGGAGTGAGGAAACAGGAGTACGATATGTGTTTAATGTCACACAAAATCGAAGACTCGCAGGCGAAAACAAACAAACTGGCCGAAGAAGCAGGCAGCCGGCGAAGACAGGACTCCAGGTGAACACAGATAAGACGCAGATGATGAAGATAACCGACCACCAACAACAGCAACAACAGCCAGCACCAATCACCAACAATGGGAAAGATTTAATAGAGGTTACCTCCTTCACTTACCCGGCCAGGAGGCATGGTTTCAACCACTGACGGGCAAAACAGATGAAGATATCAAAGACAACCAGTCAGGATCGGAAGGGCAAGATACGCCTTCATCAACCTGAAACCGGTTTGGAAATCTTCTGCACTCAGCCAGCACAAAAAGGGAAATTCCGATTTTCAACACCAATGTCAAGTTGGTTCTTCTATACAGGTCAGAAACTTGCATTGCGTATCACGAGAAGGATCTCAGACAGGCTGCAGACTTTCATCTACAGCTGCCTTCGCTCTGTACTGAATATCAAATGACCAGAAAGAACGCGTAACAGGAAACTCCGGGAACAAACCAACCAGGAGCCGATTGCTCAACAAATATTTAGGAGAAAATGGAGGTGGGCCTGGTATACACTGAGGAAACCGTTGAATGACATCGCACGCCGGGTCACTGCTCGAGTGAAATCACAGTGGGAAGTGATGGGTGAACCATATGGAAGAACAGTGGTTTTGAAAATCCGGATTTCGTTCTTTATGCTGAGTTCAGCAGATTTCTACACTGATTTCAGACTAGTGGAGACTTGCCTTGTCCCTCCGATCCTGCCTATGACAAGCTAATCCGTGTTGCTCATACTTGAAACGATACCGCCTAAATAACTGGAAGAAGTGACCTCTTTCAAATTGCCCCCGCTAGTGATGACTGGTGCTTGTTGTTGTTGGCTGGTTGTCATTATATATATATCCCTATCTATGTAGGACACCAGTTTTACAGAAATGGATAAGTATTATTTAAATTACATAAATTTGATTTATGGTGAAATTACATGGTCGCTGTCCTTTTTGACATTAGTTTGTGGGTACAATCTGTTAACTAGTCATTCAATGGAGCACATTAGGAAATATAGAAATATTGTCTTCACATTAACAAAAAAACCAAGTATGTTTTGGTTGCTACCGGTGGTCGCCAATCCGTTAAAAGGAGCAGAAGTTCCGAATGAATACTAATGAAAGGAGCAGGAAAGGCAGCAGGACCAGACGGAAGCCCTTTGGAAGCCCTGAAATCGGATCCAGGGACCTCAGTGGATATCCTGGTGCTATTACCACACAGCGTTTGGGAGGAAGTCATCTTGTGAGATTACTCAAGATGGGAACCCTAGTGGGAGACGATGAGATAAGCAGGGGTCTGAAGGTGACTTGGAGGATATGATCTGAGGATGAAAGAAGGCTTTTGGTCAATCATAGAACCATGTGATCATGAGTATGGGGGAGGTGGGGAAATTGAAATATACTGCTGAAGTCTCATGCCTTGCTCGAATCTCAAGGGATAGTAGTAAATAAAATGGTTAGTGTGTCGAAATAAAATGAATGCAACCACACAAGTTAAACTAACCTAAGAATTCCAGGATATGCGTGCACAGTGTTACTGCCGACCATGCACATGGTCCGGGGTTCGAACCCCTGCCGGCGCACACCCGATATTTGTTGTGTATACAAGGATGATAGTGGTGAAATCAAACTGTCAGAATTCAAAAGTTAAGACAGCACCGCTATGAACGTCTTTCAAGGTGAGTCGTAGTAATCTAGTAAATATGCTAAAGTGGGCTAGAAAAATCAGGTGTAGCGACAGTTGTATGCCACAGTCAGCACTCTAGTTCCATAATAAAGTTAAGATGTGCGGAGGAGGAAGGGGATTCGGGAAATCTGAGGTGCATTAGGAACAAACAATCAAGGTAACGCAAGCAGCACCGAAGACTCATTTAATGTATACGATCTTCTCGGGCCGATTGGTAAATTTCCAAGTTATCCTTAGCCTTTAATTTAGGACTTTAATGAAGTTGAATGTCTAGGTTGGGTAAGTACGAGATTGTCACTGCTAATGGATGCTTAATTTTTTTATTCTCACTCATTTGACGTTTGTCGGAAATACATATTTCCGGCGTGGCTTTTTTGTTTGCTGGTGGGCAGAAGATGTAGCGACACGATCAGGAATAGCGCATATGACTTTGGTCTATATATATAGTAATGTACTTTATTCCAAAACGGTGCTAGAATTTTCAGCATTCGGTAAATAACTGCATCTAATTTTATCAGATAATATTTAAAAAATTATAAACATAAATGTTGCAGGATTATTAATGACGGTTCTTATTTGGTATTAGTAGCGACAGTAAGATCATAAACAAAAAATGTTGTAAATTAATGATAATAATGTTCGTAGTTAGGACTATCAGTCAATTATATCGAACAACATTGAAAACTATTTTAGGAATAATACTGCAGGGTTGGTAATGACGGTTCTTATATGGTATTTGTAGTGACAGTGAAGTTATATATATGTAAACAAAAAATTGTAAATAATAATACTGTTAGCAGCTAAGACTGTTAGCTAACTGAGATAGTGTCACCATAGATTACAAATAGGAGATACCAAAAGATCCTATTGTTTAGCTAGCAGCATAGTAATTCATAAGTTTCACACTTTACATTTTCTCTGTCACATAGAACACGGGCCAAATATGGTACCGTTGGGTTCCTATAAATGTTGGTACGAGCATATAATCTTTTATACTGACTTCTAGTCCCACCAGATGAGATGCAACGGGATAGTTAAGAATAGAGGAGGTGTCAGGGTCAGATAATGTGGATTGAGATTATCTCTCGCATGAGTTTAGATGTCTATCGACTAACGAAGTGACAGGCTGACTAAGCTGCACACCACTTGCCCTACAGATAACCTTTCATACCCTTCTCAAAATGACATAGCCCCTTTTCAGTAGCCCAGGAAAGACTCGGTGGCGGCAGTAAAGTACAATAAGTAAGATCCACGATTTAAAAAATTGTTAAAATAAAGGTTGAGTGATTCCAGACTGTTTTAGCTTCTTAATGCAGCAGTATAAACAGAACGTTTTCTAGGAGATCGATAAAATATGGGATTATTAAGTAAGGTCAGATGATAGAATTATACGAAGGTATTTTGTGTTGGACCTAGTTTTATTGCAGCCCCTTCTATGCTACAAGCATCGTGTGCACTAACCAGTCGTTGTAGATCACGTTTATTTTTAAAGGAGAAGTCAGTAGTCTGGCATTTTGAGGGATTTGACGTAAAGCCATTTAGCCATCCTACAAAAAGCTTTCAAGTTTACAACAGTCAGACTGGGACTTGACAGGAAGTGAGACGGTCAGATCATCAGCGTAGTTGACGAAGCTGATTTCATTCGAAAGAGGTAAATCATGTAAAAAGAAAGAAAAAAGGAAAGAAGAGAGAACAGGACCATGAAGAACACCAGCTCCGGTAAGCATTGCAGAACATACACCCTTACATAGAGTGTACTGCATTCTAATTGAAGAGTAAGAATGCAACTAGTTAACACCCCAGCACCCAATTTGTGCAGCAGAAAGCTTGTTTAACTAAAGGCATCTAGGTACTGAGTCAAAACTAGATGTGTAGTCGAGGAGAGTACAACGTATATATTCGGCCCCTTTGTCTAAGGAGGAGACAATGTTATGATGCTGTGATATATATTGGCTAAAATGGCAAGTGCTGATAGTTCTTGCTGTGTTTATTGTATCTGACCTGCGAACCGAGAATGTCAATGGACGTGAACATTGAAAGTTTGTTTATTGGAACTGGCAGCCATTGGTGGGCAACTCGAAGGCGCGAATGGTTCGATCGCTTGCAAGTTGAATGAAGACTGGAACAAATACGAATAAAAAATTTGTAGTTGTCTTCACTTTAATTGCCAAACAATGTAATTTCGTTCAAGGAATACTGGTGTTTTGGATTTAAAGTTGAAAGAAATACACAGTCTTTATCGGTCGCAAACGTATTCATTACAATAGGAACTTAGGGCTAAGTTTCTTGACAGAGAATATATTATTATTGTCTGACCCGCGTATATGATAAATGATAAATCCTCGAAATGTCAATTTACCTAACAGTACAGCTTGTTCTGAAATCCTCTCGGTCGCTGCACGGTATTCCGGGCTCCAGGTTGCATCTTCTGACACCAAGAAGTGCTTCTGGTCCTGTGATGTGACAGTTTCCACAGCTACTGCACTAGAAAATTTTAATTTCAGATGATTTCAGTGTAAAATGTTGGGGAATCTATTCTTTGTTGTTAGATAGGATTATTAACTTTTTCTAGAGCTCTTGGCGGGAATCTTGCCACAAGCAGTTCCCAGTTTAAGCCTGGTATCTTTTAGCGGCCAGGGAAACTGAGGATGATAATGATATAGGTAGTTGGTGGTATTTTTCCATGTGTTTTCGCTGACACTAACCCACTGCGTTTCTGAATATAATCTTTGAAAATAATGAGCCTAACTTATCAGAGGTGTGTTCCTAGGAATACAACTGTTTTAAATATGAGCTCACGCTTTATTAATGCTGCATCATCACCCTGTGATGCAGTTTTGAATACCACTTCAGTGAATTTAAGTGGCTCGAACACAGAGTTTACTCCTGTGATGGAGGTAAAAGGTGTTTTGCTAGAGAATGCAGCGCTTTGTAATTTAAGTCGCATTCTAGGTGACATAAAGGCAAATAAATAAATTTCGGACGAAGTAAATGAGAATATATTATTATCGTTTCATGCTACTTTACCGTGATCGGTGTAGGTTCATGAGATATACGAAATCAGCAAGTGAAAACGTTTTGCGCCAACAAGATTGACGCATTCGGTGGTTTACGCAGCAGTAGTATTAAAGTGGACACAGAGACATCTAAAAGACAACTAGAAACAGCAAAGGTTTGAGCAGAAAAAGTGCCATTAAGCTTTTTCTGGAGAGACGAGTATATGAGCTATTGTTGTGCACACTTATTATTTGCATAACTAAATCCTTAAATCAGCCTCATTTTCGTGGAAAAACTGGAGAATTAGACTGATACGCCATGGGGGAATGAACAGTTGGTGAATAGGGTGATTATCATTAGAAGCTAGTTTACCCGAAATTATTAAATGAATATCAATAATGATCAAGTAAGCGGCTTTGAAAAGAGTGGACTGAGAACCTAAATGTGACGTGCTGTCATCCTAACTATTATTGATATCAGAAAGCAAAATAATATGCGGAAAAAAGTATACTAGTGTGAACGTATATTCTGTAGTAACTCTATTGGGCAAGTCAACTGGGAAGAACTAATCAGGCAGACTGAGGAGCACCCATCAGTCTCTGTCGTTCAACAGGGGAGGAGAACCTAAAATATCATAAGAAAGATGCGGTTCATACTCCGTTAATCATTTCTTTCTGAGTTCCTTAATCCCTAACTGCCTCGGAGTGACCATAATCGCTGTATCAGAGATTCTTATGGCACTTTTCAGTGGGATATTTCTCAAACATTTAAAATGAAAAATGATCCAACTGTGCGACCTAACGGTGAAGTGCGTAGCTGTCTATCTAACTAGTAATACACTGTGCCTTTTGCGGCCTGAGATATCGTTCTTGATTTTGCCCCAAATGCAGACCTGGGTGGAATTGTGGGTGGCATGCCTACAGCATAAGATACCACAGAGTCCACTCTCAGACAGTTGGGTGCGCTTACGTCACAGTTTCTCTTTTCGCTTCAGATTTACTACATCTGAAAATCTATACCACCAACCGTGGTCACTGAACCTTCAATGGAAGATTTAAGCGTACTCTGGAAAATCACTCAGAGACACATGGAGTATGTGCAATAGCGCCACTTCGACAGAATGAAGACGTGACCCTCACCTACGATATTTTATCCATGAGTTCTCAACTAAACTATACATCAACAGTACACATTCTTCGTCGTACCCCAGTCTGTTGATTCATTCATTGAACTGCTATCCCACTTATTGACAACAGCAAACCAATGGGTGAAAGGACGAATTCCTGCACAATATTATCACAGTCTCAACAGTTGCATACTGCAAATCAAATATAACTGCGTTCCCAAACTACCTCCTCGGTGTCTATCAACGCTACAGAGCATGAGCAGCAGCAGAAAGTATCTAGAATTTCACCAAAGATCAGAAATAATTGCCTACCAAACAACAGGTAAGCTGAAAGAAATCAGTTCGGTCTACACTAAACAGGAGAAAAGATATTAAATATTGGAAAGGTCCCCATAATTCTTGAAGCAAAATGGAAAGAGATGTGTTATATTCCTCGAAATTCATTATTGTGTGACCGAACCTCATTACGAGTCTTAAAAGAAGAAAAACGCTTTAAGGATAATGAAAAGCCTATGAGTGTTTGTCCAATATCAGTAATTCTCTCTTTCAAAATTTCAGTGTCCAAACGAAGGCCAATGTGACGTCGCACAACTTCAAAAGTTGCGGGAATGTTAATTTTCTAGGTTTGTCCGTTGTTTTAGCCAAGCATTATATTCTCAAAGGTTCTGTTGTTCCATTTGTCTCAGAGTATTATTAATAGTGCCATACGGATGTGAATAGGACATTGATACAATTACTGACCAATGATAAAGTATGTGTATGCATAAACACATGTATATTACAATGCATTTGTATTGTGTATACATGTCTTATCCTACAGTGAACTATGATGCAAAACACTTAAATTAGTATTAATTAGTTCCTAGCAGCATGTATGTTGCCAAATTTGTTTGTAGCTAGTTTTCGCTGGGCTCGTGATCCTATAATCTTATGTTGGTATTACAGTATTACGATAATGCGGAAATAATCCTAATAATGCCTGAACTAGTGCTTTTCTTTGTGATGAGGAAATGCTGAAGTGACACGGTTTTCACTAAATAGAGCCGCCATTTTTTCCGCATTAATTCAACACTAGCTACCTCTAACTCTACTACAACTCGCATAAGATAGGCGCTTAATGGCTTTCGGCGCACTATTTCTTCAATTTACAAGTTAATTCAGCATATTTAGGCGTGGTATCTATTTATTACCTGGTCACATTGTCGACGCGTGGTTTCCCAGTTTGACAAAAGTGGGCAAAGAATGGTTGAATAATGGTTAAAATGGACAGATTTTGGGCAAGTGGTAAAAATGATGAAATATAGATTAAATAATAGTAGAAATGATGAAATGTTAGTCATATGGTGGTCAAATGGTAAACACTTGTCATATAACTAAAATTTGCTTATTTCCTTAATCTAAGCCGTGTCCACTATTCATCCGTTTTTTACCATTTTTGTCAGATAGAGTTAGCATTAGTTCAGTATTATTATACACTTCGGATGAAAAATGACCATTTTTAAGATACCAATTACAGACCAAGTTTAAGTTTAACACCAGTAAATACCAACGGAGTGGGACTTCACAAATGTCCTTGAAACTCGCAGTGAGCATGTTAATAAAACCTGGAAAAAATATTGTAATCATGAATAAAATATGACTAGTGGGGTGTTGTGTTATCAAATGGGATATCTGGCAAGTTTCAGGTTAGGTTTGGGAAAGATTAAGTTAAGGTATAGGCTAAGGATAGGCTAGGGTTAGGTTAACCCAACGAGGGCGACATTGGGGTTTGTTGAAGTTAGATCACGGTTAGTTTCGGGGTATTTTCATGGTTAGGTTAGATTAGAGTGAGAAGATTAGATAATTACATGCATAGAATGTGGTTAAACTACTCTCCTGACACTCCAATCCAAAAGTGAGAGGTGTTCCACGTCAGAGAGATATCCTGTGTAACAGTTTCATGCCTTTTAATTCATTATTCTCATAAATATATGTACTTCATACTCACAAATCGCCTTCATCATGTGGTTGGTGCGTTCAAAATCGTCTGTCCGTTGGTACCTACTGGTGCTTAAAGTTTAACTTTGCCCAACTACATAGCCAGTAAATTTTACAGAATGACTTCGACAACTTTGGGAACAACGTTAGAAAAAACTTTGGAAGTTAGGTATACTTTCCTTAGATATGCATAAGTATGTCGTGAGTTGCCAAAGTTCATCTGAAGTCTTTTCAGACGCTGGTCCATTGCTTTGTGGATCAAACTTCAAGTCAAAGACTAAGCAGCTGGGGTGCCCCGTAAGACAACCACCTGCTTTGGCTCGAGTGTCCGGGCAGTATCCCGGCCCTCTCTCGGTGCCCACAATGCACGAAGTTTGTTTTAATAATAATTGCAACAGGAATAATGCGTGACCAGCACTTTTCGTAAGTTATCACCAAAATAGTGACAGCTGTCTATTCCAAAACGTGCATGTTTCAGTGTTCATATTTACTTCACCGGAGTTATTTTTTCGGTTCTGTTCAATACATTTTCGAATTAGTCAGATGTTTTCCTCACTTTTCTGACTATTCGTGGTCTAAGAGAAGTATTCTGTTACCTCGTTTTATTCGGTGTAATTGTAATTGACAGTGGCACCGTTCACAGCAAGTTTTTTCTCTACAACTCTGTCCAGACAATTTTCATCATATCCTCGGTCTAGTCGTTAAGCAGAACGCCACACTCAAAAAATACATTCTGAAGGGAAGGTAAGAAGTAAAAGTACTTCAAACATGTCTTGTGTGTTATCAATCAACACAAAACCCACTAATTAAAAAAGTATTTATATGGAAAATTCGTATTATGCCGAATGATTTACCGTCGAAACTTAAAAAAACATCAGGATTATATAGATGTTGCAAGTCTAAGACGTGCTTCAGTTGAAGAATCTTTATGGGTACACGAATTTATGATTGTTGACGACAAAACTTGAAAGAATAGGAGTTTGTGCTTCAGGTAGATGATTCTGTGGTTGCGTTCTCTTAGCTGGGTGATTTAATTGCGAAGCTTTCATTGTCCTTTTGCACATTTTCAGCGTAAACTGCAATATGGAGTAAACAAATTCGAATTCTCCTGTCTTTCTGTCTGGATGCAACATAGAACTTAGCACCGAAGTGCAGCAGTTCGAGTTGCCACGTTCCAAATAGCACACAAAAGTAGACAAGAAAATGAGTGAAGAGAATCAATAGAGTTTTGACAAGTATAAGAGTGGAACAGAATGAGTAACGGTAGAAAGGAATATGAAAGATTACAGAGACTGAATACATCTGCGCCATTGACAACGATTTTGAGCCATGTCACTTATTGTCTCCAGCCATTGATTCTTAGAGTCCCGAGGGTGGGTCCCAACCCGGAAGTCTGCATCTCCCTCCCTACCTGACTCAGTTTAACTGTCAGGGATTTCATGGATTGATGCCATGTTTTTGTTCGACCACCACTTACTCTTTTCCAATCTGTACCTATATCAGCTAGTAATGCCCGTCGGGGGAGGCGGTGGTTAGACATGCGCAGCACGTGACATAGCCATCTCAACCTATGTAACTTTATAGCCTCTTCGATTGATTTTCCCTCTTTGCCCAACGCTGCGCCTAACGTCAACATTACTTACCTTATTATACCACCTAACGTCAGAAAGAGATCGTAGACATCTATGATCAAAAACAGACAACCTTTCCATGTCTTCAACTCGTATTGGCCATGTTTCAGAGCCATAGAGAAGGACGGAGCGAACTGCTGAGCAGTACACACGTCCCTTGGTTGATAGCCGGATCGAATTCTCCATGAATGATATAATTGAGTTTCCTGACCTTTGTCGTGATTGGTTGTTAATTTGCATCAATATTAACTTGGAATTTGACTTTTTTTGTTATGCAGCTTATCTTTTATTGGTTGATAAATTTGATCGTTTGTCTGAGTACTAGTCTTTGCCCACTTTGCCCAGTATAGTGCTTATCACAGCTCATATAATTTATTTTCTTAAGGGTGTTCATCTTGTCTTCTTTGGCTGTTGGGTATTTTGGTTCGCATAGTATTAAAAGAAGTAATTTTGTTAGTTTGTATTCCATGTCTATTTCGAATGGTGTTAATATTCAAGCCTCTATCTCAGAAACATCCTTTATATAAGGTGAGATGAGTTGTCTTTTGGCTTCTGGGAATGGTTTCTTGTTGGTAGTTTCATTCGAGTTCACACATTTTTGGGTAGCAATGCAGGGATATCCAGTTTTCTTAAAAACTGTTAATAAATGTCTCTGTTGTATTCTCTTCAGAACTGGAGTGCTGCAGTGTGTTTTAGCTCTTTTGAATAGTGTTTGTACATATTTTCTTGTGTGTGCTGTTGGATCGTTTCTATTGTAGTTGAGTATTTGGTCTGTGTGGGTCAGTTTCTGGTGCATCTGTGTTTCTAGATTTCCCGTGTTTGTTCTCTTGATTAAGGAATCCGGGAAGGGGGTTTTGTTGTCTGATTCTTCTTATATGAATTTGATGTCTTCAAACAGATTAATTTGTATTTTAAACCATTTCTTTTAACTATGACGAAAGTGTTATCAACATAGTGTCTGGAATTTTGGTTTGATTATCAGTAGAGCCGTCGTTTCCAGTCTCCGCGTAACGACCTCAGCAGTCAGTCTTCAGCCGATCTTATCGGTACTCCTATTATCTGTTCGTATAATAGGTCATTGAATTGAAAATGTTATAAGACATAACCCTGTGAGCTCCATTCAGCTTGTGTATTGCGTTTTTGTGTGTTCATCACTATAGGATAGTTCTCACGTAGTTTTTTTTCTAGATTTTGTCCAGTTAGAGTGTGACACCAAGCCTCAGGATGGTCGGGGGTGGGTGCCTTGCGCTGCGGGTTGGCCACCCCTCCGCACACCTCTTGAAATGCTCCCATATGACCGGGCGTCTTACATAGCCTCTCCTGAGGAAGTCCTACTCACTGCCTTCACATGGCGGAGGTCTTTTTCACCAAAGTGAGAGGGCGAAAGCGGATGCCCGGCGCTCTTCACTGGGTTGACTGTCCATTGGATGACAGTCTAGGGGAGATGGCTGAACCCTGATTCCAAACCTCCAACGACTGGCGTATGAAGCTCACTGGAGCTCACCGGCAGACGTATGGACAAAGGACTTGTTGGATATCCTGGATGTCTGGCCCCATTCAAAAAGGCGTATGAACCGAACTCCGGTCACCGGCTGCCAGTGGATAGTGGACTCCCTACTCCACTCCTATTGCCTTGTAGTTCACACTTGGTTGTGTAAAGGCTAGAGCTGCACTCTCAAACAAAAGGCCGAGCGATTCTGGGGACATCACTCGTACCAAATTCTCATGAAACTTCATGAACTCTTTTACAAACGTGGTACAGTCAGGGCTGATATGGAGTGCCTGGGGCTACAAACCGTCTACGGACTCCGTCTGTGGAACAAGAACTGGAAAACCCTGTCGCAAAACCTTGCATCAGATCGCTGTGCCTGGGCAGCGATGATTCGAGATGTTCATGAAGCCGGCTCATCCTCCCGTAGGAGATAGCCGAAGTAAAGTAAAAGTAAGACACCAAAGGACACTATGATTTCGCTGTCACCTATTTGAATGTTTTTGATTTCTTCTAAAAACAGGGTTGGCGAATTGATAGAATGGTTGCATGATTCTGTTAGGTATTTCGGTTTATCTTCAGAAAGCCCTTTGAATAGATGTGTTAATGTCCCTGGTAATGATACGACTGTTCTCAAAGGTATGTTTGGTTTGT